CACCAAGAATTGAGGCAGTTCTGAAGGCAAAAGGGGGTCCAACCCGTTACTAGCATGGGGTACCTAATAAAGTGGCCGGTGAGTGTAGGTTGTTTTATGAAAAGACTAAAAAAGCTGCAGAAACAAAAGGTAAATACATCAATAATCCTTTTTTTTTTTTTTTTGCTATAATAATTCTTTCTTAGTCAGCATTTTCTTAGTTCTCTTGTTTTAAGTGTAAATTCCAAGGTTGCCCCAAAGCTGTGAAATCACTCATGGGGAGGTTTACACCTAACAGAACAATAACAACTGGCATTTCCATCCTGCTTTGTTATTTAACACCCCCTTCAAAGCTCGATTTGCTGCTGAAGGGGAACCACGGGCTGCTGGTGTTTGCATGAAGGTGAGGACAACAGCTTGGAGGAGTGCTGACATTTGCTGCAGGCGTGTAATCTCACCTTGTCTCTGAGCTCTGTGGTGATGCTGTCGTACTGCAGAGCCTCTGGGTTGCTAAGCAGTTCACTGTACGTCGAGTCAGTGATGGTGATGCTGAACTCAACAATATATTCCTCGTTTTTCTTCTTAATCAGTTCAGGGTCTTTAACCTGGGGGGGTAAGAAGTTAAACACAGTCAGATTATTCTGCTAGTTTTATTAAAAACTCAAGGTGAATTTAATATTAAATTTTACCTCATCGGTTTCCACTGGGAGATGAGTCCATGAGCCTGAAATTAAACATTTTACCAAAGATACTGAGATTCCAGAGATACAGAGAAGTTTTAAGAGCTTCTGATGAACAAAGGAAGGACTTACACTGACTGTGTGGTTCCTCAGTAGCTGCAACAAACCTGAAGGAAAATGCAGGAACAGTATAATGGGTATTTTAGTTAATGCAAAAATATGGAAATAGCATAAAGATGTTATTAGTGCATCCAAGTATGTTTTTTCTACAGCTACTTCTGAAATTAGTGTTTTAATCCAGTAAAAGTAAGTTTTGGTCACTTTGGGATTCAAAGTATACATACACACACACACACACACACACACACACACACACACACACACACATGTTGTGTCACAATATCCTTGTGGGGACCTTCCATTGACTTCCATTCATTTCCCACTACCGGTAATTTATATGGCCTAACCGTGACCCTTGCCCTAACCCTAACCATTACTGACACATACCTATCCCTAAACCTAACCTAAACTCAATTCACACCTTAGTCCTAAACCTAACCCCCACCCCAAGAAGAGAAACTTTCCTTATGGGGACCAGTTGTTGGTCCCCACAAATACCTACTGTATGAGTCCCCAAAATGTAGCATATTCCTAGGAAATTGTCCCCACCAGGTATTAAAGACATGGCCACACACAAACACACACACACACACATAAATATATATAGTGGGGAGAACAAGTATTTGATACACTGTTAATTTTTCAGGTTTTCCCACGTGCAAAGCTTGTAGAAGACTGTAATTTTTATCATAGGTACTCTTCAACTGTGAGTGATGGAATCTAAAACAAAATTCCAGAAAAATACAAAGTATGATTTTTAAATAATTAATTTCCATTTTATTGTGTGAAATAAGTATTTGATACACCAGAACAATGAAACTTAATAATTGGTACGGAAACCTTTGTTTGCAATTACAGAGAACTACAGGAAACTACGTTTCCTGTAGTTCTTGACCAGGTTTGCACACACTGCAGCAGGGATTTTGGCCCACTCCTCCATACAGATCTCCTCCAGAGCCTTCAGGTTTCGGGGCTGTCGCTGGGCCGCACAGACTTTAAGCTCCCTCCAAAGATTTTCTATTGGATTCAGGTCTGGAGACTGGCTAGGCCACTCCAGGACCTGGATCTGGACGCCTCCTTTCCTGGTAGTAGAGCTAGCTAAGATGAGCTCTGTGTTAGATTCAGTACACTGAACCACAGAAGCCTTTTTGGACCAAGTAAGACGTGAGTCCTAACTACCTATGACATTCTGCTGCAGTGCTTGTTTTTATTTATAGTTCATCCAATGACTCCTAGAACATGTTTAACCTTACCTCTTAACCTCCTTTGAAAGCATCACATGCACTTTAAAAACTGATATAAATATAAGCAGTACTCAAGTTGAGGGGGGTGAGAGGGGGTCACATCCCCCTTCTTAAAAAATAACCTTAAAATATGACTTTTCTTTGCTGAATGGTTTGAATTTCTACTATATATTAACAGTAATGACAATAATATTGCCCTTTCAACATTTGGCAGACGGTGGGCTTTCCAGTTGCCTGAGCAGAATAGATAAAATCAAAGAAATGGCATCCCATGAATATGAAGCTGCTCCCAGTGATCAAGGTCAATAACCGGCCTACCTGACATGTAACAATCATCCAATGCATATTGCTATAATAATTAAGCTATGTATGCTTCCAAAAAAATTCCACCATCTCCCTTCTTCTTTTTACAAATAGACTACTTAATAGGAAGTAAGTAAGTAAACATTTTATTGAAATATGCAGAGGTGGAAAGAAACGAAATACATTTACTGAAGTTACTGTATTGAGTAGTTTTTTTTGTGTATTTTGTATTTTTCAAGTACTTTTTAAAATCCGCAATTTAAATTTTACTTGATTACGTTTTGAGTGAAGTATTGTATTTCGTTACAATACAAATCCCATCCGTTACTGAGTAAAAAAAAAAACTTTGGAAAACCGAAAGGAAGACAAAAAATCGGGCCCGGAAGGTTATTTATGGAGTCAAAACACGTGATTTAGCCTTGATTTGCATTATAACTGTTTATGTTAAAAGAAAAATGGAACTCAGAATGAACAATTCATGGCAATTCCACTTTCAATTGATGTGGAAACATTGAAAACATTTTATGGGATGTTCTGCACTAAAATGGCACATTATACATTTATAAGGGTCTTAAATGTCATGTGTGGCGTAATTTATGTTGTTATTGCATTTGAATAGTGCTTATTAATACCTGTTGTTAATGTTTGAAGAAAAGAAGGACGGCCCTCAGAACCAACAATTTATGGCACTTTTACCTTCAATTGATTGTTTGAAAAAGTTTTATGGGATGGTCTGAACTAAAATTGCACATTATACCTTTCTAAGGGTCTTAAATGTCATGTGTTATCTTGTCATTACATGTGTATACATTTGTATAGATTTTTCTTTAATTAAAAACTAAATAGATTTGGATTTATGACTCCTTGTCATATTTTCACTACATGGGAGAGATCCCCTCCCCCGTTCATCAGTTGTTTTTTAATGTAACTAAGTAACTTTTACTTAAAATACATTTTAAATTAGCTACTTAGTGCTTTTACTTGAGTAATTTTTCTGATGGGTAACTTTACTTGTACTTGAGTAATATTTCATCCAAGTATTGGTACTTTTACTTGAGTATGATATTTTACACTAACAACAAAATCTGCATCTGTTTTTGGCATTTACTTAATCATATTTAGTTACTTTAACATAATTGTTTTATGTCCTACCCTGCTAACATGAAAAAATTCTGTTAAAGTAACGAAATATGATTAAGTAAATGCAAAAAAAAGCTTGATTTTTTTTTTTCAGTGAGTACTTTTTCCACCTCTGGAAATATGTGTGTTGATTTGCAGGTAACAGAATGAAAAGAATGCATTTAAACACTAATTATAGCTCCCAAGTTGGTTTATTCCCCCAGAAATGTGACATTTCAGGCATCACACCCTTCATCAGACTCAAAGCTACTAGACAGGTGCACTTGTCTTATAAGGCTTTATTTGATCACCTGATAGTGGTTTGACGTCAGGTAAAGACATATATAGAAAAAGATTCAGCTATTGCTCTTAATTAAACAGGTACAACATAAGATTATCTACCAATGGAATTAGCATTTTTTCCATTAAAATAAAAAAGAGATATTACACACTAAAAATTATATAACAGAGCCTTTTTATGTTAATCATCTGATTACTGTGTCAAATTTGCCTACCCTAAACAAGGAAAACATAAAAAAAAAATGAGTTAACTTAGATGACACGGACAACGGGCATCCAAGATCCTGTCCCAGAAGAGACCAGCACGAACTGGGATGTTCAGGGTGACTTGAAGCTGACAGAAACACTGTAGGGGCCGTGCTGACTGTTACTGGAAGATCAAGGTGACAGAACCCCCAGAATAGAAACACAAGCTGTGCATTTTTTTTGCTTTTGCATCCCTGGATGTTCTGGCACAGAAAGCTGACTGATTAAAACTGGTTCTATCTTGGTTTGGTTCTCACTGGTGTAGTAGGTTTAATAAACTGGTGAAGATTCTCAGTCATCCAGGTCATAGTCATTCCAAAACACTTAAAAAAAACTTGTAAAGTCCAGTAGATTGTTTTCTCTTTTTTTTTTTTTTTTATAGGTTTAATAAATAAACATTTTCAAAGCAACATTCCAATCCAATCAACATGAATTATTATTTTGAACACAGAACTATCTTATGATGAAACCGTACCTTTTAGGCTTCCGTAGTTGTGGATATCATGCAAAATCAGCTTTATTTAGCTTTTAACGATGTTATAATAGTAGTCATTTTGCTTGATTCACACGTCTCTGAGTAATCTTATTTCTGCTGTTTGAGCAGAAGCCCTCCCTGACATGTTAAAATGAGGGGTTGGAGAATTTCAACCTAAAAATGCATCCACTCCAGGAAGCAACTAACTTAGTTGCTGTGCCAGCACTGTTAACAAACACCCTCTTTCTCCGAACTGGGGGCGGGTGACGGGAAGCAGAGTAAGATCATTTAAGCCCAAAATTCAGACAAATTGGTTCTTATAGCTGCTAAACCTCACAGGGCAGCAATCTCTCTTTTTTCGTAGTCATGAAAATCAGTATTTTGGCCCCCACAGATGTAAGACTTTCTTCAATCTTCAGAGGTGGCGTGATACGGCAACATCAGCATTTAAATGCAAGAGTTTTTCATCAGGATTTGAAGAAAACATTTAATACCAATGTAGTGATTTCATGATATTTCACCAATATTTCACCAATAGGTGACTTTTTAGGCTTTAAAAAGCATGAAAAGCACTACAGCTGTTTTCTCTGTTAGCTTTGGTGTTTATTTTTCAAGGAAAAAAAAAATCCTGAATAAACTAAGTTTGGTTTAAGTGGAAAAGAGTTTAGTATCTCCAAAAGTTTACAATTTTTAACTGAAATGCAATCATTCCACCCACAAAATGGAAAAGTTATCATTTATAATGAGACTGCAATCGGATCTTTATAAAAAGAGATGGAGAAAATGGACTAGATTTCTACAAAACAATAACTGAATCAGGTCACTTGTACTGTCGCTTCAAAAGCTGCGCAAAAATCCCAAGATTGAAATGTACATTTGTTTGCTGTTTTCATCCTGTATCTGTTCATCTTTGTCAGTATGTAAGTAATTCTTCTTGTCGACAGTTATTCCGTTCTGTGTTCTGTATGTGATTGATAAATGAAACACATTCAATAAACATAAACTATAAAAAAAAAGAAATGCAATCATTCCTCATGATTTATGCTTATAGATCATTAAGAAATCTAAGTCATTTGAAGTAATCAGAAATCTGCTCTATCAATATGTTTGTGAGAGATTACTCAGTGGGGAACCGTCTTTCAAATTGGCGTTTGATTTTTTTTTTTTTAGACTTTTTAGTTACATAAATTAAAATAGTTAATCACAGTTTTGCACATTTAATATTAAATGGGAAATGCACCTACCCTTCACTTTCAGCCTGTTCTGCTACTCTCTAAAAATGACAAAAAAAAAGGATAATTTTTAATAGTTTTATTTTAACATCCAAAAGATAGAAATATAAAGCTGCACTGAGTCGGAGCTGCTCACCCTGGCCACCATGTCCAGATGCTCCTGGGAGCTGCTAAAGTTTTGGGCCAGCTCCTCCATGCAAAGGTTTTCATGCTGGCAGGTGTAGACCCAGGCTTGGTACTCCTCTGGGTTTGGGGCTCTGTCCAAAAAGATCCTGAATGCTTCCCAGATTGCTTCCTGACAAACTGAGGGTTACATTTCCAGCATTAGCGTAATCGACTCTTAAAAAAGCAAAACAGCAGCAAGTTTATTTAAATAGCACCTTTCAGTAGCAGGACAAAGAAAATAATGCATTATAGGAAAAGTACAGTAGAGTGGCATAAAGGTAAATAATTAACAAACACGAATAATTAAGGATAACAAAAATGATAATTAAGATGACAACATGATTTAAAAGATTAATAATAAAACGATGGATAAGAAAATGAAAGGAAAGGCTTACGCTGGGCTTTTTAGTCTAATGAAGTAAAAACAAATTAAAAAAAGAAAAGTATTTACCCAGAGTTAAAAGTAACATTAAACAAATAAACCCAAAAAATTAACTGAAAGTGTCTACAAAGAGTTAATAAAAAAACAATTTTAATTATTAGAATACAAATGCTTTGGAATAAATGAATAATAAATAAATGAATGAATGAATAAGTGAATCTCTTGCATTTCAAATTAATTACGGGTGTCTAATTTGGTTCAGTTCATGGTTATAGCCTACAGCTGATGAAATACAGAGATGTTTTTTTCATAAAATAGTTAAATTAATAAAACAATTTAATACCTATTATATAATATTTACATTTATAAATTAAGATTTTATTATTTAAGATTTTTTTTTTTTTTCCTAGGGAAAATGATATATGCATGTAAACATTATTCTACCATTTCTATATGCACTGAACCACCTAAATGCAATGAGTGTAAAGTTTTAATTACAGCAGCTGATGTTTCCAAAACTGTATATTTACCACTTGTTGATGATATTTGAGAGAATATTAAAATCATTGGAACAGAGAACACTGAAGCAACCACATGTTCCATCTGCTCCCTGCATGTAATTAGTGCCACGTTGTCCAATATCCTTACGCCTGTGGGAAATTTATTCTGCAACAAACCCATTTCTGAAGCGATGCTATTACCTCTAATAGAACAATTTTATCCATCTCACGTTAAAATGACACACCGCAACAGCTGTTGGGGATGACTTGGATAACAACCCATTTGTAGCAGTCACAATGCCATTTAATCCTCTTAAAACACCCACATAGCAGCGCTGTTAGACTCAGGATGTTTGTCCATACTGTCAATATTTCAAGTGCCTCGGTCTAATTTTTCTGCAATTTTATGAGCAATGTTTCTGGTTTTAAAAACCTTGCCTATCAAGTTTTTTACTGGATAAAAAGCTTTTTTTTTAAAACAGAAATAGTCTCATTCAATCAATATAATAATATAAAACAATCAAACCTCTACCTCTTAGTTTGTAATAGGCCCGGTGGCTTCCAATGACAGTTTTCATGGTGTCTCGAGGACACAGTTTGACGCCCGTAGTGTGGGGCGTTGACCTCTTCACCCGCTGTCCACCCTGCTCGGCTCGGACGTTGGTTGCATGTCTGACGGGGCGAGAGGTTTCAAGAAAATGCCGGTACTTTACGTCCCTGAGGCCAGAGAAGTTTATGTCATGGACTTCTGCAGAAGGAAAAATAAGAAGAGGGAAAACTCAGCATACGGAGAATACTAACAGCCACAGGATTAAGGGTTTTTTATTGTTATTATAGGTGGTTGTAATTTTGCAGGCATCATCTTAATGTCATTATTGGGAGGGAAAAGTTTTTATTATCCAATAACTACAAAACAAAGAATGTGGAGGTAGTTGGACTACATTATTTTATTGTGAATCTGAATCCTTTTTTATCCTTAAATTAAGGTTTCTTATTACTATTAGTTGGGACAACAAGTCGATCAATTACCTTTATAATTTAAAAAACATCTTAAATAATTTTTGGTTCAGTTTCAATGAGACACCCAGAACAAGATCTTAATGCACCTTAAATGATTTCCACGAACCAGGTCATATTTTAAAACATGACTACTTCATCTGTCAGGTATCCTGTTTCCTTTCACATTTATCAATCAATTCCAACTCTTTTAATTTTTACCAATGGTGAGAATCTACACACCAAGATATTGTTCTCGCTTTAAAGATATTCCGAATAGGCAGTGCAGGGGGAGCAGTGGTTAGCACGCACGAGCCATGTTTGGAGTTGTTGTCGGAAATTTTTTATCTTTCTTCTATTATATATTAATTTATCCTTTTTACTCACTATAAAAGTTTTCACTCAGTCTGTTTCTCTCTCAAGGTCACACATTTCTTTCCAAGCCGGTGTTTGTAGACCAGACATAGCTTCTTCCCATAACAATCCAGATTCTTTCTCAAGGTTTATTCATAACATGTTACTGTTAAGCAAAGTGTGTGTAATTAGTTATGACTCTGACTGCTTTCGATTGTTGTAAGTAGGGGGGTTGAACCCTGCCCAGATCAGAACAGAGCAGAATGCTGTGCCATGATGACTGTTCTCTCTTTGCAAAGATTTAATAAATGTGCCGACTGAGTGAAATCCATCGATCTCCGTTTATTTAACTAGGATGAATAGTTGAATACTTTTTTCCCACGACAGGAGTCCTTAGTCCTCAACATGGCCGACCCGGGTTCGAATCCGGGTCTGTCTTTGCTGCATGTCTCTCCCTCTCTCTCATACCCGCTTTCCTGTCAGCCTACTATCAGAAAAATGCGCCACCAGTGCTGTAAAAACTTTATGTTTGCATATTTTTCTACTTTGATTTTTAGTTTTAATCAAAATTTGCTTTTTATGTGATTAAAAAAACAAACTTTAACTATAAGGTCAGTGTAAGATTTATTTTAATACAGTAAATACAGTTTAAATATACCAGTCAGGCATAATATTAGGACCTACCCAGCAGAGTGCTGGCCCCCTGGATCCCTGACCTGTCCAGCTATTATCTAAAACAAATGCCCACAGAGATGAAGGTAAACAGGAGACGTATGGTACTGCGTAAAGGTAAAAGGGGCTGTAAGCAGCAATGCAGGGGAGGAGCTAGAAGGGGGGCAATGGGTGGCTATGGTTAGACATTCACTACCCACCCCAATGGCTAACCCCTCTAGCTGTTTTTTGTTGTTCCCATGGTAACAGACTTCACCCTATCCAAAATGAGCACATCCTCCCTAAAACAGGGGGGATACTCTATGGAATAACCTAGCTAATCGGATTTTTCACTGGCTAGTATATGAACCATAAACTGACACAGTAATGAATTATTCAGATATACTTAGGTTAAATAAGAATCAAAACAGAACTCATGCTCTTTTTTTAACTAAGCTGTGTGCTTTATGGGGGAGAAGAGGAAAATTCTGAATTTTTGCAGTCATCATGTAGTGTTCTATCAAACTAGAGATAAAGAACAACTGGTTAATCCATTCAATGCGTATACTATGCAAAAATGTAACTGTCTTACACAAAATACATGTAGAAATATATGTAGATTCATTTAAAAAATTGTTTATATTAGGGCTGCAACAACGAATCGATAAAATCAATAAAAATCGACTTTTAAAAGCGTTGGCAACGAATTTCATCATCGATTAGTTGTGTCGTGCGATTAATGCGTCATCACTGCCACTTGACTGAAACAGGAGAAGAAAATACGGCAGAGCGAGCCAGCGCCGCAGGGCGCAGTGCTGCCAACTCAGCGACTTTGTTGCTATATTTAGCGACTTTTCAGACCCCTCCAGCGACTATTTTTCAAAAAAGCGACTAGCGACAAATCTGGTGACTTTTTATGGTGTCACTGGTGGCTTTTTCACTCTTATGTGAAAGCATGTATCGTTCCTATGTATCGTTCTTGTCCTCCAGTGGCAGCTGCTGCCGTGGGGCGCCTCCCCCATCCCAACCCCGTTCTCCCGCAGGAGTCCCTCTCAGCGCTGCAGTCAGAGCCGCAGGATGTTTCAGCGTCCAGACTGCAAATGAAGCGCGCATGCGCAGGGATTGAGGGCACAAATTGATCACAATAATTAAAATAGCCTGCGCTTTGTAAAGCGAAAAAAGTCGTAACATGCAACTTTTGTAAAAACAAATGAACATGGCACGGAAGCACCACTGTTGTGATGCAGCACCTGAAAAGGAAACACGTTGGAGCCTTCGATGGCAGTGAAGAGAGCTGATCAGCAGGGTGAGCGGCCATGTTTGATTCATTTTAAAGTGGGGAAACGTAACGTTAGTTTCTCAGGTAGCTCATCTGATGCTTTCCTTACCGTGTTAGTAGGTTACAGACAGTGAGAAGGTTGGCTACTTGTTTTAATTTTAATTTCATTTGAATTAGCTTAAGCAGCGTTTATATTTACTTTATAAATAAATTAACTTGCAAATTATGAGGGCAAGGCTTTTAAAGTTTAAATCTTCTGTCAAAGATAAAGTAAAGAAGATCCTGCAATTTATGGAAGTAAAGCAGAATAAAATCCAGCAAGATCAGTAATATGTCAATTAATTATATGCCACATTCCCATGTAAATATCTGTCTTTGGAGGATGTGTTTTTTAGCACCCCTAGTTCTCTCATTTTTATTCCAAATACAATTTATAATTTGAATCACAGGGCTATTTTTATCTCTATGGTTCAGTATTTTCTCAGGTAGCAACTTTAACTGCTATACTTTCCTGTCTTAAAAGGCAGAACTCTTCTAGTCTAAAAAAACTCATTTGTTGAAATGGGGGGGCCTATTGTTTGAACCCCTTAGGGGCTTTTAAAAACAAAAATGTCCTTTTTTGCGCTTTATGAAACAAAGTAGCCTATATTTAGTGGATGTACAGCTACATTTCTCATGTAAGTTTGCGTAGTTTTAACACAAACATTTATTTTTCATATTGCACCAGTACAGTTAATGAGCAACCTGTACTTGTGTGCTTGTTTGTTCTGTCTAAAATGTTTATTTTGGAATAAAGAGGTTAATGTAAAAAATATTTTTGTCCGATTCATCGATTAATCAAAAAAATAATCGTCCAATTCATCGATTTTTAAAATAATCGTTAGTTGCAGCCCTAATTTAAATGAAAATCAAGTCTGTCTTCACTTTTTTATTTGGAAAATATGGATGTTTAAGTCATTCCTTCTGTAGTTGCTACCGTATGATTAGTTTATACTGACCCTGGTCTGATTTTCGGCCACCCCCTGCAAGCTGTCTTGTGTCACCACCCTCAAAGCACAGTTACCAATCTGAGTTTGCAGTGAGACTGTTGTTCATTGTTTAAATCTCACACGCTCTGTGCTTGTGCATGAATCTTAATGTCTTCACATGCACATAGCTCTGTGTCTGCGCTAGTGGCGGACTCTGATTGCTCATTGTTTTCTCAACATATATAATATATCCAGAATAAATATTCCATTATTTAACTGAAAAATTTTGATACAAATTTTCTGATAAAAAAAAACCCACAGACCTTGTTAGGATATTTCTCTCCCCTGAAACTGTTAGAACCATAAACATAGTTTTTGTTTATCATGAGTTAAAATAGTCCTACATTTTTCCGCATGTTTCCTTCAACAAAGAGTTCTCTGAGTCTTAAGGGTGGCCTTAAAATTCCCACGCTGCTAAGTTTTGTTGCAATCACGCCAATGAAAGCTTTTCAATCTGAGGAAGCGTTTGAATAAATGGGGACATGCTGGGCATTTAACGTCAAATATTTCTAAACGGGATTGGAAAACGCAGGAATTATAAACAACATCCTGAAGATAAAGAATGCCTTTGAAGTTTTATATTGAATTATTCATTAAATATTAGTCAACGCTGATTGTTTATTTTGATATTTATTCCTTTTTTTAGTTCTCAAAACGGAGAAGCAAAAAGGTAAAAATCTAGAAAAGAGAAGTGTAATTTAGTTGTCATATACAGGTTATATTGGTCCAACAATATCAGAATTTATTGTTTTTTTCTTTAGCAAGAATTCAAAACAATTTTCACTCCTGATCCTAAACCAGTGGTTCCCAGTGACAATAGTTCTTTCATTTTTTTTCATAGAAGGTTATTGAATAAAATTGAAAAAAAAAACTTAATAAGACCAGGTCAGCTTCCCGAGTTGTTCCGTGTTCCAGGTTTTATTCCCATGTACCAACATAGACAATTTAAACAGTGGAGGCTCAGTGATCAATGGATCTAATTAGAGTCTTGTACGTTTGATTCAGAGACTGCAATGGCTGCCTAGGTACAACAGGAAGTAGTAGATTTGGGTTGTTCTTTATTAACTTTGAGAACCCAGGAGAGGTCACTGTGATAGGAAGGTCCTCCTCCACCCCCTGTAAGTGCACTTTGATCTGGAGAGATGGCCAGATACTGAAGCCAGGCTTTTAGGGACTAGAAATGGGGTCCAGGCTGAGAGGACTGCCGGAAAAACTGAGGATCTGAGGACCTGATAACTATCTGGGGCTCTAAAACCTGGAGGAGAGGCCATGGCCATGAAAACACACACTGACTCAGCTCCTGTAGAGTCTGCTCATTATGACGCTCCCAATAATGATGGAGGTAAAGATGACAGAGATAATTAGACATTTGTCCCCCAGTAAAACCGTGGCTCCCGATCAGCTCTAATACAGTGAGGACGTGTTTTTGGACATCTTTTA